CTATTATAATGATAAATGTAACAAGAATGCTAATTAACTAATTAACTAGTACAATACTAGTTATAGTAAGTAATATATAATATAATGTTTATAGTATATAATATATAAGTATACTACTATAAGATGAGTAATACACTTATATTTTATACTTTAATATATAAAGTATATATTAAGTAGATGTAGAATGTATGTATTAAGTGGATATAATAATTGTATAAGAATTAATTATTAGAGTATAATGGAGAATTGGAGATTGGAAAATAAGAAAATAAGTATATATAAAATAGATATTATAAAGTATATATAAAAGTAGATATTATAAAATAAGTATATATAAAATAGATATTATTAAGTAGAGAAGTAGATATTATTATGTATTAAGTATATAGTAATAGTTTATAAAGTATATTTAATACTTTATTATATAAAGTATATATTAAGTAGATGTAGTATGTATGTATGTATTAAGAAATATAAGTAGAGATTAAGTAGATAAGAAATATAAGTAATATAGTATATGTATTTATAAGTAGATAATTAATATATAAATAGATATAATAATTGTATAAATATTAAATAGTAAAATAAAATATAAAGGAGAATAAGAGAATTTGAGAAGATGAATATGGAGAATTGGAGATGAGTAGAGAGTAGGATTTAGGGAGAGTTGGAGAAGAGGTGTGAAAAAATGTTTAAAATTAGGAGTATTTATAGGTTTTTTTTAACCCCCACCCCCACCCCCCACCCCCAAACACCCCGGACCCCCCTGGTACCCCCCCCCCCCCCCAACGGCTATATAGCCGTTTGGGAAGTGGCTGTTGAGCCAAAAGTTTTTTTTCAAATTAAAATGATTTTTTTTTTTTTTTAAATCTGACCGTTAGGCCCGGGCCCGGGCCCGGGCCCGACCCGGCCGGGCCGGGCCGGGCCTCCAAAAACCAGACCCGAGCCCGGACCCGCTAACCCAACCGGGTCTTAGCCCGAACCGAACCCGGACCCGAGAACCGGGCCGGTTCCGGGCCCGTACAGTGACGGGCCGGGCCGGTCCCGGGCCGGGCCGGTCCCGGGCCGGGCGGCCCGAACCGGGTCCAAGCCTAGTCGAGATGTGGTGTTCAAAGAGCAGGTTATGTACAAAGACAGATTGAGTGCATCTGATTCTGAGCAAGGAAGTCCGAAGATCATAGAGTTGAATATCTCACTACAACAAAACAAGTTTTTTGTAACACTCATAAAATGTTACATTAAATGAAAAAATGTTACAAAAGGCTAATGTAACACTTTGATGATCGTTACTTCAGGTCTCGTTGCATAAAGTCATATGTAACATTTTTTACCTTCTTAGGAAACATTGAGCAAAAATGTTGCATAAACCATCCAAATGCAACACTTTTTTGCAATATTTAAACCAACATTTAGGCAACGCTTTTTTAATATAATGTAACACTTCATTACACTTGATGCAACACTTCTTATAATTTTTGTAACATACTTGTTGCATTTTTTGCAACATTATTTGAATTGTCCAACATTTTTATATGATTATGCTGGGTTATTTACTCGGCGAGTACTCGGCGAGTACTCGGTGAGTACTCCCTACTCGGCCTATGACCTTGCAGAGTAGCACATTACTCGGCCCGAGTTATTATTCCGAGTTACTCGCCGAGTACTCGGCGAGTTAGCCAACTCGGTCAGTGGGTCAAAAAGGCGATTTACTCGGGAGTACTCGGTATTTTAAAAAAACATTACCTCCGCTTGGAAAAAAATTAAATTGAGATTATCCTCTGTGTTGTTTTTTATTCTCCCTCATGTTGCCTATTATATTCTTCTCTGTATACTGTAATAAACTCTAAGAATTTTGGATTGTTCTTCGCTTGCTTGTGCTTTTTAAACTGGTGTTTTCATTGTACATTTTCAAGTCTTTGGCCAACTAAAGTGTGTATTGAATGTACCCCTGAGACCTGAGTTACTGAATGCTGAAATAAAATCTCTTAATTGAAAAGGTGAAAAATATAGCTTAGCAAAAAAGCATCATGTTTGGTTTTGGGTGAGCTGCAATTTTCATTTAGGGAACTACCTTTGAGGACTCGTTGTTCGGTAGGTGCCACTTTGAAGTCACTTTCAAGTTCTTCAATTGGAATAAGAATAGGTGCCAAAAAAATGCAGAAAATATTTGCCTTTCTTCCACTACTCGTGCTTCTTCAAGTTGTATTCTGGTATTGTATACATATTATATGCATTTTAAGACAATTTCTATCCTTTTATTCACTTCTAAACATTTTAAGACAATTTTATTACTATATTTTAAGACTACTATATTTAAATATATTTTTTATATTTAATTAATACTAGGCCGAGTAATCACCGAGTAATCCCGAGTAATCAGTCCTACTCGCTACTCGGCCCTTGATCGAGTAGCTACCGAGCAGCGAGTAAACTACCTAGTGATTATGAGTAACACTTTTTCTTAGAATATGTAACATTTATAGTAATATATAACGTCATATTCACCTTAAATTTGTAACACTTGCATAGTTGCATTAACTGTGTATACACTAGCATTTTAATACAAAACTAATAAAAGTTATCCAAATAACTTACAATTGAAGAAATAGTCATTAATCTGAAACTTGTGTTAGAGACAACAACCCGTTTAAATACTAAGCTCTAATCATACAATGCAGTTCATTACATTTACTACTCCCTCTGTCCCTAAAAGAAGTTCCATTTCACTATTCCTTGGTCAACTTAAATCACTCTTAATCTCTTACTTTTTATATCAAAATTTTATAAAAATTGAATTATTTTTTGCAGGCTTTGTAGCGGGTTTAATGTAGTTTCTGAATACGTAAATTTTATTTACTAAAAATAATCCGAGTTTTCACAGGGATCATTTAACTTTATCGTCGGTCAACCTCGTAAACCGCAATTGGAACAACATTTAGGGACGGAGGGAGTAATAATAATGGGATCACATGTCTTCTGGTACAGGCAAAACATCTTTACTTTGTTCATAAATGACAGAACAGGGTAGAATCTTTGCAGGTGTTTCCAAAAAGTGTAGGTTTGACCGAATTATTGGTTGAAGTGCTTCAACATATTTGCCAAATATGTTCACTATTTGCAAAAAGAAAAAAATATGTATCTGGACATATTTGCCAAATATGTCAGTCTTCCTATTCGTCAAGAGGGGTGGGCGCGGATCGCCATCTTGGATCGTGAAGTGAAGGGCTTGGATCGCATTAAAATAAGATATTCCCAACATATTTGCCAAATATGTCGGTCTTCCTATTGGTCAAAAATATGGGGCGCGGATCGCCATCTGGGATCGCCAGCTGAAAGGTGTGGATTGATTCGATCTATTTGAGCAGATTTACGAATCTGTTGTAATAAATTAATATATTTCTCAACATATTTGGTGAATATGTCCGTGCTCCTATTGGTCAGAATAAGGTGGTTCGGATTGCCAATTACTCAACATGTTTGCCAAACCTGCTCTATAAAATCCACCACAAACCTCACCTCACAACCCCATCTCACGGTTCCAATCTGTCTTCTAACTTCTCCAAATTTTGGCCATCTCCTTCATCTTAACCCAAGTAAGTTCTTCTTTAATATTTTTAGTTTAATTTAATTTGTTACTTTATAAAAGTAGGAATGAAATTAATTAACGTTAAGTAATTTAACATTAAGTTATATCTTCTCCAAATTAGTTAACGTTATGTTACTTTAGGCCAACTCCTTCTCCAAATTTATTAATAATGTAATTAAGTTTTTCCAATTTAATGGTTAATTTAGGTAATAATTAAAGTTAGTAATTTAGGAATGAAATTATTCTATAATAGTGTTAATTTGTAATTGTGAATTAGGAACCTAAACAAAAAAAGTGAAATAGGAAACTTGCGAAATTTTAGTTTATTTACCAAATATGAAAGATTAGTGTTACTTTACCAAATATGTATGTATAAATTTAGTAATATGCATGCTAACCTTTTTGGAAAATTTTGCCCACCTTTAGTTTAAAGTTTGTAGTAATTTTTCCTATTTTGGTGTAGAAATTAGTCTATAAGTTGTGATAATTAACGAAAAATTAATGTATAGTATTAGTCTATAGTTAACGAAATATGTTGTTTTTTAATTAGGTGTATTTATTTGTATTACAAATTGTATTATAAGTAGTGTTGTTTAATTACATATATAATTTGTATTATAAATAGTGTTGTTTAATTAAATTTGTAATTACGCACAAAGTATTACAAATAGGAGTGTTGATTTGGAATTAATTTAATAATATACTTTTAGGTTTTCATGGCTACACAAAGAGAGCACCCCCATCCCGGGCCCATAAAACGTTCTGTATTGGTAATGAAACCTGGAGAACATCGTGCCGATAATGTGTGGAAAAATGAAGAGTCGAGAGACCTAAAATTGAGGTGCATTACTTACCCCAAATCCACCAAAGACGATGGCGAACGTGATCCTAGAGTTGTACAACTGCTGAGGGCATCAGGCTTTCAAGGAGCTAAACGAGTAGTACAAATCAAAATTGATCACGGTCTTATCACTGCATTGGTTGAGAGGTGGAGACCAGAAACACATTCTTTCCATTTACCTTTTGGCGAGGTCGGCATTACCTTGCAAGATGTACATGTGCTGCTGGGGTTACCGATTGATGGTCTCCCACTTACTGGTCCGACGGCACATAGTAAGACTGAATGGGTCCAAATGTGTGATGATTATCTTGGTTTCAGACCATTTGAAAAAGATATAATATCATCCAACAACATTAGAAATCTAGCCATTCAGCGCTTTTTGTTGTCACCGCGGAGCACTGACATTGAAGTTATTCAACATACTAAAACGTTGATTTGGCAGTTGCTCAGTGGGTTGTTGTTCCCTAGCACTTCCGGTAGAGCGTCACTTTACTTTCTTGAGTTGTTGCATGACAATGTAGAGAATTTGACTAGGTGGAGTTGGGGCTCAGCTGTGTTGGCATTTCTGTACCACAACTTATGTGAAGCGGCGAAGGCGGACACATCTTCGATTGGAGGATGTTTAATCCTTTTACAACTTTGGGCATGGGAGAGGTTGCCAATGGTTCGACCCCAACGGGTTCTTCCACTGCATGCAATATTTGATTTGCCCTATGGTGCTAGGTAAGCTTCATTGACATAATATATTACATTGTACTGTATTATGGTTTTTATGATTTGTCTTATAATTCGTTAAATTTAGGTGGGCTTGTGCACATAACTGGGCCGACTCTAGCAGATTCACTCTTCGCATTTATAGGGACCAGTTTGACCTGACCAGATGCGGGGGATTCACTGATGAGTATCGTGGGTGGTTTCGTTACATGGGCAAGACACACATTAACAACCCCTCACAAGACCGTCCTACAACAGGATTTGTTCCAGCTCATCCACATATTGCTATCGCGGTTATTATTTAAAAGTGTTTGGTATTCTCATATAATGTAATAATTCAAATTATTAACTGTATAAATCTGTATTGCAGTCTCACTGTTTGGGCCAGGTTGCTCGGGAAATGATTGACAGAGGTGACCCTCGAGATTGTGGGATGATTGAGCGAATCAGGAATTGCCTAAGGCGGATAGGTGCAGAAGAAGCAATGGATCACGACATCATCACATTTGAAGATGTTGATGAAGGACACGCATCGCCCGATGCTCATGGCCAACAGACTAGACCAGGGTATGGGTTACATGATGATGATACATCTCATGATACACCCATGGAGCCGCCATCCACAGTTGGTAGTTCCTATCACGCACATGAAATTTCCCAACATCAGCAGTGGCCTAATTTTAGTTGGGATGACATATTTGGCAATGATCACCTCAGTGGAGCTAATGAAAGAGCATTCAACTATCTTGATGCCATTCCTAAAGAGAAGTGGGCACTTTGTTTTGATGGTGGATGTCGTTATGGAATTTTAACGACCAATCTATCTGAAAGTTTTAACCATGCCCTAAAAGGATGTAGAACGCTTCCGATTACAGCACTTGTGAGAGCAACTTTCGATAAATCTGTTCAGCTCTTTGTAGAACGACGTAATGCTGGTATGATGTGGAATCAAAGTGGATATTAATTTCCGGAAAAAATCCGGAAGCAGATTATGGATGGATGGCAACAAAGGCGTCACACTGTTGTAATCCCGCACAATTATCACAGTGGAGTTTTCTCAGTAGCCATAGAAAATGCAACTCCGGTTACGGTAGATTTTTCAAGGAGCGACTGTGATTGTGGCTGCTGGAGGATGAACTGGATGCCATGCAGCCACGTGCATGCTGTGTGTCACTTCCTCAACCGCCCTGTCAATCAACTTATTCCGGAAGTCTATAAACTGACCTCTTACATTAATGCACATGCTGGTGATATTATGCCTTTACCAAATATGAATGAGTGGCCTGATATTGGGATCCATCTTTTACCGCCAAAATATTTATCACGAACTTCTCGAGTGGGGCGTCGTCAAGAAAAAATGAGATGGATATGCGTCCAAGCAGAAGAAGAGGACAACAATGATTTCATGTATTTTTAATATTTCAACGTTTTTAATAATTTCTTATGAAGATATTGTACTTTTTAAGTTTTTAATAACAAGTTGTTTCTTATCCTTTCAATAAATATTTCAATTCAGAATATATAAATTTTCATTTCAGTAGATTGTAGTGTATAATTTTCGTGAAATGTGGGAAGAAATAAATAAAGCATTGTTAACTAAATCTATTCAAACCTCTTTTTTTTCGGAAATCGTTTAACATATTCACCAAATATGTTGCTTGATTTTTTTTAATCGAAAACTGTTGAACATATTCGCCAAATACGTTCACTGACTTCTTCTTTTTTTTTAAATAGAAATTCATTGAACATATTCACCAAATATGTTCTCTGACTTCGATCTTTTTTAATAAAAATTCAGAGATATCTATTGAACATATTCACCAAATATGTTGAGTCTTTGGAATGGTCTGCAGACCAGAATCTACACCATTTGGAATGGTCTGCAAAGATCCTACCCTGTTTCGTCAATCACCCTTGTTCATCTTGCAGGGATTGATGTCTATGAACCATGACCATCATGATGAAAAATCATGGTGATGGGACCATTGAACTAGCAAATCCATGGACGAACCGCCCAATATATTCGTTCATAGTCGCACTCAACTTGTAAGAATACTTCCTTGCACGTAGGAAGCACAACACCAATGGTGAATCATTATTACTCTGCTCTGTTCCAGCCTCTGTCTTGTACGTAGTACTACATAGAATTGATATTCTAAAGTCAAAGGCAGTAACTCTAAGTTAAACCCTAAGTTATCTACAATAATTTATAGTGTAGTAATAAAAAACTCAAACAGTACACAAGCAACTCATTAAGAAAATTATATGCACAGAATAAATTAATTACCTTATATTCCTTTCAAGTAGAAGTCTTTATGTTCGAAACTGCAAATAAATTGAACAACCTGAAACAGAAAAAATTAAGGAAAAGGAACATTTATTAGCATTTGCCTAACTTTGAGTACTGATACAAGTTGGTACAATCATAATCTGATAATAACTAATTATTAATTCCAAATACATTTTTTGTGTCAAAATGCTTTGCATTTTGGTTTAACATTAATAGGGCAAACACACAAGGATTAAGGAAGATTAAAAAGATTAACAAATAAAACATCATTATGATTAACGAAAAAAAGGTTTCTTTGAAAGTTACTATTACGTACAAGGTTTATAAAAGAAATCACCTGGTTGAACAACATGTGTTAAAGCGTAAACAGGAGCGAATTTGGATATCTTCTTTCATTCCTTTACAACAATCATTACTTATTCAGTTGGTAATTTCCCGAATGATATTGCTTAAAGAATGATATGTCACCAATTTCCAACCCTACAATCAAATCAGTTCGCAAGAACTCATAAATACATAATCAATTAAACAACATGTGCGTACTTTTATAACAAAATAGTAAAAGAAACAAGGCAAAGGAAGCTTAAGATAAATTCATTAGGATAACCATTTAAATAAGGATATGAAATTCAAATTTTCCTTTTTAATTTTCTTTATGCATTTTTAAGGAAATATTTTTAATGGAAGGTAGTTTTAGAGCTAATAAGAGTAATTTTTTCATCTATACAATATGATTTCTAAAAAAGATGTAAATTGATCTCCCCCCATTTCCCCATCTGCAATCAAACTAATCCGTCAAAATATATTGAGAAGAAACCCCTAAATATAAGGTATGTGCCAGATTTATTCAGAAATTGAAAATGGTATTCCTTTTTGGTCTCTCATTATCCAAAAAAATGATATATGCATCATCAGTCATCACCTTTTAAAATATAAAAAGTTTCAATAAAGCAGAACCTAATACCCCAGGATGCTAACAAGCCAACAGTTCTTCAAAAGAAGACTCAAAAGCTGAGTCCCAATTGACTATAAATGGCAATATATTTATATTACCCCAGAACTTCTTGTAAAATTCAAAAATCATATGAGCATAACAGCTTTAGGATATTGGAAATCTGAATACGAAAGTTAATCTACTCGAGAATCACTAAAAAGGAAAAGATTTGGAAAAGGGTTGGATTCTATATAGTGGCATATGTTTTCTCATGAAAAGTTCTAAGAGAGAAGCATCTAAAATGAATCTTAAACCTATATAGCATAATGGCATAATGTTAATGGTCTCACCCTCATATACACTTATGCTAAAAAGAACAGTAAAATGGAATTACTCTAACAACATGCTTGTCAACACGTGTACTACCATATGGCTACTAAGTTACACTAACATTTTTTATGCCTAAAATAAAGTTACTTTTATTCATCTTTATAATTTTGTAAAGAAGTATACTTTAATACGTAGTATTTTAAATGAGTTCTTTAGAAATAAGAGACCACCATCACAAGACAAAGTTTTAACACAAAGTTTTCTTTCTCCAACTCAAATTTGAAGAAATTAAACAACACGTGAACACATAATCATAGATAGAACCTTCAATGGGAATCTAGTTGACTCAAGAGTATGGCCTAAATCCAAATCTCATTGAGACATTCTTACAAACACATCATAGACATTATAAAACATAGAATTTCAAGAATAAGATGTTTCAAGATTCATACCAATAACCACTACCCCGTAAATCATTATCATATTTCCTAAAATAGTCAAAATACACATACAATTTACAATTGATAATTTGATGAAAATAGAAAACTAATTCAGAAAAACTGAAAAACTAATTAAAATTACATAAAAAACAACCTGCGCAGCGGTAGCTGGTAGGGAGTGGCGCGGCGACTGCCAAGCACTGGCAAGTGCTTGGAGCTTGGAGGTCTCAAGAGTCAAGACTGGCTGTCAGCACTCAGGAGTGTAGCCTGGAGGTGATGATATAGCAAGAGGTTTTTTTTTTGCTTTTATGGAAAACCTTTTTGAGAAGTAATTTTGAAAATTATAAAAATAACCCCATGTTTCACTCAAGTTTTCGATTTTATGAATCTGACCCCATTTGAACTACCTGTATCGTTCTTGTTGCAAAGCTTTAAATTGACGTGTTACATAGAAGTAGCAAGATGCAACACTTCTATCGTAACCGTTGCATAAATCCGTAATATACGTAATATAGGTGTTTATGTAATATTCGATTCGTCTCACTAAGATTGTCTCATATCTTATTTGAAAAAGTTTGTGTAATTCTGAATATGAAAATGGAAGAAACATAAAGTAAAAGGCACAAAAGATTAGAGTACGTTTTTAATTACATTTAGAGATTTTTCTCATTCCCATTTGTTCCATAATATATTAAATGAGAAAAAATCGTACATAGTTAACATAAAAATATTTTCCGCAATAGAAATTTTAAGCTTAAAAGATACTCGTAACTTTTAAATAAACAAAACTATTTAAAAAAGATGAACCGTACTCTAAAAGACTTATAATTACTACTCCTATATTATTAAATTAAGTTATTGGGGGTTAAAATTACACTATATATATAAGTTACCTAACTTTCCATGAATAATACTTTATAATAATAATAAGGAACTATATACTACATATGATATGTAGATTATACATTGAGCATTAGTGACTTAATTCCCTAAAAATATATGAGCATCAGTAATTATATGAAACATAATAATCGTGTGTATATATGAAACGGATTTATGTAATGACATGTGGCTAATAGTAACTAAAAGAGTGACACATGACAATGAAACATAATAGAATGACACATGTCAGTGTGACCTAACTATATAATACTCCCTCCCCGTTCTTTATTATTAGTCGCTCTAGGCTTTGACACGGGTTTTAAGAGGAAAGTAGTAGGGTAAGTATAGAGTGTGTAGGGTAAATGTTAAAGTATGAAAGCTGGTATATTAAAAAGAGTAAAGTGATGGTAAAGTAGGAAATAGAGTGCATTAAGAAGAGTAAAGTGATGATAAAGTAGGAAAGAGAAAGTAGTTTGTAAAAAGTAAGTGGGGTAAAAGTAATAAAAGTGGAGGTATTTTCTCAAAAACTTTTCTTAAATGGAAAGGGGGACAAATAAGAAAAAGAGATAATTACCCTAGGTATAACTAAAACTCTACCACTTTCCAAATCTATGACTTTATGAGTTTTTTTCCCCAAATAATATTAAAATTCGTAATATTTAATTAATATATTATTAAATAATTAAATAAATATTTTATATGGACTAATATGCCCTTAGATTATAATTATAAAACCGTAACATCCTATACATCTTCTCCAACCCTAGTTGTTGCCGTCTAGTATCCCCTGCCTCTCCG